GGACTTGCACCACGAGAGGATGATGAAGACTGGTCTCACGGCCGTTCTGGTCCATGGCCGGGATCCGTCTATATATGTTTACACATATTTTCCTTACTACACACACGGTCCCAGCAATACGGCGACGTGTTTAATGCGGACTCTTACGGAGATCCAATCCAGTGGGAAACCTCTACCGCCGTTTCTTCGTATTCAAGCTGACAACTGCTTTAAAGAAAACAAGAATAGATTCATCTGCACATTGGCAGCACTTCTTGTGAAGTTTCGGGATTTTCAAGGAAATAGAAATTGGTTTTATGATAGTTGGACACACGCACACAGACGTTGATGCCACGTTTAGTGTTTTCTCCAAGAAACTCAAGGACAATGATGCCTACACAATGGATGAGTTGTTCCTTTTGCTAGAGCGGTCTCATAAGACTCCTCCGCGGTGTATTTTTCTTGATAGGATAGCAGACTGGAGAGGTCTTATTTACCCGCATGTTTCAAAGCACATGACAGGGATTTCGAAGCCTCATTTGCTGAAACTCTACATGATAGGTGATAATCCCGCCATGTCCTATAAAGAGTATTACACGGACGCTAAGTGGTTGCCCGAGGATGGTCCTCTTTACTGATTCAAACAAACTGACAACGGTGGTTACACTGGTCCGCAACAACCTTTCGATCCTCTGCCGGTCCAACCGGCGTTCCTCGACGATTACAAGAACGGTTTGGAGGGTGTGAATAGGTTTTTGGAAGTCTATGAAAAAAAAAGAGAAACTTGGATGACTTTCCGAGACGAAGAGGTGACTAGAATAGATAGGGCTTTTCGGTTTTGGGAAGATCACGTCAAACACGCGGGGGACATTATCGACAACGGGGTGCTTTCGGCACCCATCACCGAATTTTGGCCAAAGGTCACCCATGTCGTTGAAGACAGGAGTTCTTGCTCTGATTCGGATGCATCCGAATTACAGAGAGAACCTCTATTCGTGGGTCTTCGGAGGGACAAGCCTAAGGCCAGCTTTGATCCTTTCGAAGATGTGCATGTCGACAGTTTTGTCATTATGCAACCGTCGGACGAGGACATGCATCAAGGAGKGTCTTTTTGGGTTGGCCAGGTTCGCAGTGAAGTTGACAAGAACGAAGATTCGCCAACTTATAATCAATTCAAAGTGGAGTACTGGGTTCCAATCGGAAAAGCGAGCACACTAAGAGAATTGTATGTCGACGCCTGGGAAAAAAATGGAAAAAAGCTCCAGGGCACGAGGAAGAGTATCAACATGTCACAACCGTTGCGTTTTCTTGGATGAGACAAACGAGGACCAATGTCAGCGAGTCCTCCAAAAAGTTTACCACCGGTCTTGTGATTCCTCTGAAAGTAAGAAAAAATGCAATTCCCTCCCTAGAAAACGGTGTTGGCACTCAAACACAAAGCGTTTCCGGAGAAGGGAGCGGGCAGGAGGCTACCTCATCGAGAGTGTGATGGTTGTCGTCTTTTCGTGAGGAGAACATATTGCCATGTTGGCCTGTGCACAACACGCTTGACTCCATGGAATACATCGCTTAATGATTTGTGCTCTCTGGGTTACGGGCTTCAAATCAACAAGAGTTCTTCATCAATTTTCGACATTCGGCGTGGGGGCGTTTTGGTCGTCGTAGCATGACCTCGAGTTTTCGGTCCTGACCTTGATGTGACGCTTTTATTGTGACTTTTGTCTTTTGCAGTGTGCAGACTTTTCTCTTCTGACGTACTTCGAAAACATGGATGAGATTTTGGGCTACATTGAAATAAAAGTACCTGAACGACTGACGATCATCACAAAGGGAGGAGCGTTTCCTTTTCAATATGAGAGAATCTTCAGGATCGTAGCGGGAGGACGGACAATGTTTGTCATCATGGTGAGGTTTACTGATCTCAACATTTTGGACATGCGAATTTATGAGCGTCGGGGGGAAAATTGGATGTGAGGAGATTTTACAAGAGCTTATGTAAAAGCTTCAGAAGTTCTTTTCGCCTTGAGACGTGCTGTGCTCGGAGCAGGGGGCGGGACCAGATAATTGTTATCAGTTTTTACGGGGTACTTCTCATTTGTCTCGACAATGGTTGTGTGTCTGCTTATGTAGGCTGGGTGTCCCGCTCTGTTTTTAATTTTTCTTCGCTTTTCAATCTAATTCTCATGAGTTGTCAATTGTCTTCAAAATCCAGTGAGATCTTTCAAAATAATTATAAGGTCCTTGGTCACTTCAACATCTGATAATCTGTACACAGTTTGATTCGGATGTATCATACGCATTCGTTTGAGCCTTCTCTAATGCCCAATCCTCAGATGATAACGTCTCTACATAATATGCTATCCACCACTTCACTCCGTACGATGCCGTTTGTTTTGAGAAATGTTTGGTAAAATGATAATGTATATGTAACCGCCATCTAGTTGAAATTTAAGACTGATGGTTACTAGAGTTCTTAAGGGGTTCCCGAGGGTGCACTTTTGTTTGTTAACATACATCATTTAATCTCGGCAAGGACAGTGGCGGAGTGGTGGGCAGCATTGGGTAGGGATGTTACAAGTTCATGGTTGCGAGGTCTTACCCGGCAAGCGGCAAATGATAACATCTCTGCATAATGCTGCCCACCACTTCACTCCGTCCGATGCCCTTTTGTCTTAAGAAATGTCTGCTAAGCTATAATTGTTCTTGGAATGATAACATATTGGTTAATTTTCCCTCGGAGGGTGATCCGGGCTATGATCATAAGTTTATCATTTTGATTGAGTGAACTTCAATGATATTTAATGAATGACGCACGGTTTATAACATAACGGATTTTCTCCATCCGAATAATGAAATATTTGATTCGGATATATCCCAGTTTTACTATAAAACTAGCCAACTTGTGTATTATGGATTATATCGAAACATGTGACTCGGATGTATCCTACTCATCTTGCTTGTATTCAATTAAACTTCAAAAATGAGTTATTCTTTTCACTCCCATGCACCCTTTAAAGCCTCAACGAAGACCTTTTTTGGGTCACTCATATACGTCCCTCACAAGGGGAAACCTTCGATATGCTACGTTCGTAGTGGCTGTCTGAATGTGTGCTAGTTTACTTGAGGATTTATCCGTTGAACAGGGACTCTGATCGTTGTGTATTAATGTATAATCAGCATCTTCTTTCGTCAGCCGTGTATACCTTTCGAGTTTCTCGAACGACAAAAGTACTATTTAGAAACTAATGTACTATTTTAATGAATAACATGTTTTCTCCTAGGAGATATTTTGAAAATGATTCTACTATTTTATCTTTATTTATTGGATAATTCTGTACTTTACTACAGTAACTTTTCTATAGCCTATATGTCCTTTTCCAGCGTCCTCTGGATTCGGTTTCTAATATGCTTAGTATCTCTACCCATGTCTCTTGACTACTCACTACTATGTGGTCAATCGTCTCTTGGCATCTGTGCATCCAGATTGCCCATAGGGTGGCTAGCCTTAGCGTCTTGAAGAAAACGAACTCGTATCTGTGCCATGAATTCGGCGATCGCATCCCCGACAAAAGCGGGAATTGTTCCATTGGGAGGATCTTCTTTGTGGTTGAGAGCCACAGTGCTGTTGAGTGTGTTTCCAGAGTTGTGTTTTTTTTTTTTTTTTTTTTTTTTTTTTTTTGTTGAAAAAACAGCCCGATCGGATGCTAGATGTGCTAATAAGAGCAGACACACCTAGCGCCGTCGGGGAGGCTCCATCTATTGGTGGGGAGCAACACCTGCTGGAAACCGGGTCCAGCGTCCCTTTGATATATCGTTCACCACACAAATTATTCGTAACAGTCATGAAGTCATATCTACGTGCCACCTGTCACTCCTGTCAATCCTATCAATCCAAAAAAGGATATGCACGAACCGGTGGGTAAACAGGCGGCAGCCCATATCCAGATGAGCAGCATTGATTGCCCTCCACCGAGGGGATTAACTGCTCACCCCTATGAAAACTAAATATCCACCCCTAGACCCGGATCGTCAGCTATTACTATTTGCAACACCACGGGGAGGGGTATTTGGAGTGGGAATTCACAAATTCAAGTATAAGGCCACCTACTCAACCAAGGAGGCACCAGTGCGTCACGTGGCCACGCGTTCATGGACAAGCCTAACCCCTATCCCTACTGTCCTTTCTGCACCTTTGAGCGCGGCCACGTGGCGAAACGACCCGTGGCCACGCATTCATGGGCAATCCTAACCCCTATCCCTACTGTCCTTTCTGCACCTTTGAGTGCGGCCACGTGGCGAAACGAGCAACACCTGCCGGAAATCGGGTCAAGCGTCCCTTGACAGTTACAGAATCATATCAGCGCACCACGTGTCGACCCTACAACCATCGTGCACACCAAACCAGCCAGCCAACACTTCGGCGCTATATCCTAATGAGCAGCTTGGATCGCCTGACGGGATAAGCTGCTCCACATTATGAAAACAAAACTCCACCTCCGAAACCCTTACGATCCTCTAATACCTGGGAGGGGCTTTCAGAGCGGGAGATCTCGCCGTCATAACAAATCATAACTCCGCACAAATGCGCCCAATCATCTTTAAAACAGTTAACAAAGTTGGCGAACTAGCTCATCTCAAGTTGCCTTCAGCCACTTCCCCCCCCGATTCTCAAAATTCATAAGCACATTTACACCGGAGGTGTGAAAGACACTACTTATCCTACCCCTTCCCGCCCCCAACCCTTCTTCCAAAATCCCACACCCTCTTCCTGAACAACACCCCTCGCAATCGCCCCTCCATCACGTCCTTGATCCCAACCGCACCCCACAGCACACAAAAACAAAATAGCAACGGAAGACCGGGAAGAGAACCGCAATCAGATCGCACGTACATCCCCACCAGTATCTTCCCCTTGTTTGATATCGTGGCAGATGTCTTCGTTGCAAGCTATGTAATTGACCTTATTGTTGTTGTTGTTTCCATCGCAGCGAATATCTTCCCCCTGCTTGAAATCATCGCCGATCTCATTGCTGCATGCTATGTAGTTGACGTTGTTGTTATTATTGTTTCCATCACAGGGATTCACAGCGAGCATCGTCATTCGTAACCACATCCCCAGCAGCGAGGTCAACAGTATCGTCATCTTCAACCTTATGAAACTGCTCAACGATCGCGGCGCACAGGCCCCGCCCCTCCTCTGGGCCCCTGCCGCCGTGACCTGTGAGCACATCTAAATGCGATCGATCCGCACAATCCACCCAAAAGGGCAGCCCCTCTTCCTGCCCCCTTGCCACGTCATCCTGCTCAGACAGCCCCCATGGCTGAACAGGACTCACAGCACCCTGTGACCTCGCCACCGTAGATGGTGGTACCGCCGCCAACACAGCTGATGATGATGTAACAGGACTCACAGCACTCTGTGACCTCGCCACCGTAGATGGTGGTACCGCCGCCAACACAGCTGTTGATGATGTAGCTGAACCCGATGTGGATTCCAATATTGCCGTAGTTGGCGAAATTAATGTTGTTGTTGATGTTGCCAAAGATGTTAGAGGTGTAGATGCTATCTGTGTCTCAGAGCTTGGCAGACCACACACAGATCTCTTTGCCAAAAGGTCAGATAACTTATCCTTAATCCTCTGCACCATGTCAATGCAGTCATAGAAAACGGCGAACGCCTTCGCTCTATCGCTCGCGTCACGCTGTCGAGAGAAAATCAGTTCATAGAGCTCATCATAGGTCTCTTCTCCCTCCTGCAGCACTTCGTATGGCAGATCCCCGTTCGACTGGCACAGCGTCGCATGCATCTCCTCCAACTGTAATTTGTGCGTTATCGCAGTGGACAACACAGACACTTCCTCCATCTCTGTGCCCCCCTCCATCGTTGTTGAAGCCGCCGCCACTAAACGTCTTTGTATCCAAACTTCCCACGGCTGGCGCAACCCCTGCCCACGCGTCGCGGGACCCGTGCGTCACCAACAGCAGGCGCCACGTGGCAAAACACCACGCACGTCTGCTGGGCACGCGGACAGGCCTAGCGCCCGAGGGAACCCCCCGGGACACTAGTCGAGTCGGTGGCCCGGGCCCTGCCGGACCAGCAGCTACAGGGCGCTAGCACTAGCGACCGCTTGCTTTGAGAGAAGTCCAGAGTTGTGCGTTTTTACATTCAATTTGTTGGAACGAATGTTCTCTGTCTTTTATCAAACCACTTGGGTAGATGGAACATAGCTCCTGTAGTGGAGATCACGTCTGTATATTCCTTCTCTTGTATAGCCATAACATAGCTCCTGTAGTGGAGGTCACGTCTGTATATTCCTTCTCTTGTATAGACATGAGCTGACTAGTAAGGCACAATGTGCGAGGAGCCACTGAAAGCTCTTTAATTTGACTGATGTTATGTTGAGAACTGCGTAGCACCCCGTTCGCGTTCTCCGGCGAACGCGAACACGTTCGCCCGAACGTAAACAGGCTCCGAAAAACAGCGAACGCGAACGTAGTTTTATTTAATTATTTTTTATTATTTTTTTTATATATAGGGGTGGGGGGCGCATAGGTGGTATCCCTGAACCCCCTTGGTATCTACAGATCCATCATCTCTGCAATGGTGCTGCCCCCCACCAGATCCACCCCATTCTCCCCCCGCACGCCAAGTATATATGCTGTTGATTCACATTAAGGTCCGTGTTTCAGCAGTTATGGGACCACTGAGAACACGAGTTTTTGGGCAGTAGAAGGGCAACTCACCACGTGCTTTTCAGGGATTCCCTCCACTACTCACCAAATGTGCAAAACTAGAATGAATCTTTTGCTAGAACATGGAACCATGCGTCGCCATATGTTTTGTCTTTTGTGCAAGTAGTGACCAGTGGAGCGAGGCTCTTAGGGCCACTGCTCGTAGGAAAACCAAACATAAGAAAAAAATGAAAAAAGAAAAAAACGAAACAAAAGAAAGAGAGAAATGAATCTTCTGCTGGAACATGGAACCATACGCCGCCATATGTTTTGTCTTTTATGCAAGTACTGACGAGTGGAGCAAGGCTCTTAGGGCCACTGTTGGTAGGAAAACGAAACAAAAGAAAAAAAAAGAAAAAAGAAAAAAACGAAACAAAAGAAAGAGAGGAATGAATCTTCTGCTGGAACACGGAACCATACGCCGCCATATGTTTTGTCTTTTGTGCAAGTAGTGACGAGTGGAGCAAGGCTCTTAGGGCCACTGCTTGTAGAAAAACGAAACAAAAGAAACNAAAAAAAAAACGAAACACAAGAAAGAGAGGAATGAATCTTCTGCTGGAACATGGAACCATACGCCGCCATATGTTTTGTCTTTTGTGCAAGTAGTGACGAGTGGAGCAAGGCTCTTAGGGCCACTGCTCGTAGGAAAACGAAACAAAAGAAACAGAGAGCTACGGCAGTAATGTAGCCCATAACTGCTAGAAAGCAGACCTGACTTCGAAACCAGAACATATATTGCTGGCCTGCTCGTAACTGACACGAATTCTGCCCAATGTCTCTCGAGATGTTGGGACCCTTGCAGATACACTGCAGGGGTCCTTCGGGAAAAAAATGATTTAACAAGGAATACGTGCACTGGGCCTATTTTTTTTTTTCTGTGCCCTTCGATTTTTTAGATGGGAGGGGCACCATTGGCTACCTCAGCCAGCCCTCCCCGAATTTTTTTTTTAATCCTATATATTGGGGTGCGCCGCATCACGTGCGCGCCGCAGGTATGATACACACACACACACACCGCCGCTCCCCAGGCCCCTCCAAAGCCCCGCCGGCAACCGGTGCCGGCCCAGGGGAACCCCGTTCGCGGGCCTCGAAAATACATTCTCGCGAACGTGTTCTCGACCCGTTCGCGCGAACGGGAGAACGTGTTCGCCCGAACAGAAAGGGTCGCGAACACGTTCGCCGTGCTACGCAGGTTGAGAATTCCGTTCCATGGGGAGAGGGGTGTGTTGTTAGGTGGTATGGTGAGGTGAGTTTCTCATCTCTGGTTTATAATTTGAGAAACGGAAACAGATCTCAGTGACTGTCTCAATGTATATCCCAACTTCGTGGTGTACTCCAAAATATTAGTACACTTTTCTATTCCTAATCTGCCCGATTTCCTTTTCCAGGCCCATTCCACTGGATCAATTTCTAGGTCTTCTATGTTTGTTGTTGGTTTGAAAATACGACGTTCCTCTGTTTCTACTAACTTTCTAGTACTTTCTACTGCCCTTATTTTTCTTACCGCTAGTTCTAGTAGGGCTATTTCCCCTGAAGGGGCTCGGTTTAAAAAGCTAGTAGTAGCCCTGGTTGCACCTGGTTCCTCTAATGGGTACATATCGCAGATAAGCCAGGAATCCCTTGGTCCTTCCCTCTTACGGAATTGATAAGCCATGGTGGCGGCGACTTCCATCTTTCTTGTAGCCCAGTCTCCCGGATTCCATTTGATTTGCACGGTCCTTTGAGCACTTGGATCCATCTCTCTGGGACGGAACCGAGGATGTTGTTTATGCCAGTGTTCGCCTGTAAGTTATGGCAGCCCTTTAGGGCTTCTCTCAGTTTCGTGACCGATTTCCATCTTTTTTCTGCCTCATGCCATAGGTGGTTAACCTGCCACTGTGACACTCCTTTTTGTACCCAAGTGCCCCATTTTGTATCATTACCGATTAGGATCTAAGGCTTTCTCTGAGTATCTAGTAGGGATTGGTTGCAAAAGAGGGGTTACCTAAGCACCTCCTCTTTGCTCATTGATTCTCTCACCTTGGCTGGCAGGATCTATCTCCAGATTTTCATTAGTTGCTTCCAGAAGTCCTGTTCCTGATCCTCCATTTCTTCCTCTGGCTCTGCTGCTCGAGTTGTGCCCCTCATTGCCAAAGATTTGGTCATTAGCCAGAAAAGGCCACGCATGTTCTTCGGGATTCTGTATTTTACTAATTGTTGTATCCTTCTTAGCCCTAAGTTTGTCCATGGCATGGGAGATTGCCATTGCTTATTGATTTGATGATCCACTTTGGTTGCAGAGCCTTTATCAAGTATTCCTGGGCCACTCTTTGCCTTCCTCTGAAAAACGTACTTCCATGCCACGTTGGAGAGGAAGTTTACTTTGGATAGGTTCCCTGTCCAGAGATAGGTTGCTGCTTTTTTTCTCAATTGAGTTCTAAGGTATTTTTGTGGACTCCAACAAATAGTTGTTGTGTACCACATCATTGAAAAAATAGAAGCATTCAATATCAATGCCCTACTGAAAAAAAAAAAAAAAGATGTATCTGTCTTTGACCAATTGTCAATTTTGACTATCATTTTACTCAATATTGTTGGAGTCATTGACTGCTCAGAAGCTTTCCTACACACTTGGATTCCTAAAAATCTTAAAGGTCCATTGTCTTGTGACCGAGTCATTCCTTCCGCTGTGCTCTGAGGTGGTTCAATTTGAGGGTCTGTGAGCCACCGGCCTATTGTTTTCGGCCAGTTGATTTTCATTTCTGACACGGACTGTGTTAAAAAAAAAAAAAAAAAAAAAAAAAAAAAAGAGAATGCTTGCATGGAAAGAGGAATCCGATGCCCTTATAAGGGTTGTCTGAGTCATCTGCGAATATGATAGTTGCTGGTAGACTAATTGAGTGTTGCTTGTCCTCCATTAATCTTTCAATCATGGGGTCTTTCCTTAGGAAAGAGACTATGGCTTCCATTATAAAGAGGAAAATTGGGGCCGCTAGTGGGTCTCCCTGCCTTACAGATTTGGACATACGGTATAGTTGCGACAGACGGCCATTGACTTTAACTCTTCCGTGGGCTTCTGAGTAAAGGCTATGTACCCATTTTCTAAAGTTCGAACCTACTCCCATCTTTTTCATACTCTGTTGTAGGAAATTTCCGTTAACTTGGTCGTATGCTTTTTTTTTTTTTTTTTTTTTTTTTTTTCCCAACAAACAAAGGCCCCATCTATTCTGAAGGGCAACAGTCCGGTTGCTTATCACCGGCAAGCACGTTTGGAGGACAAGTCAAGGGAAAGGAAAACAGGGGGTCGTATGCTTTTTCAAAGTCAAAGAATAGAATGACTGCATTCATTCTTTCATCTTGGATGTATCATTCGTGGAGAGTCAGTGCATTATCTAGAAAGAAAGAATCCACCTGGGATGAAGCCCGTTTTCCCGGCTTGTATTATTAAAAAAAGGAAAGTTGAAAAAAAAAAGGCCCGAAAATGTCGAATGTATATACAAGCTAGGTTTCGGGTCCGGTAGGGCCGTGTGGGGGTGTGTTATGTTCGGGGGAATGCCAGTAGTGCATTTCCAAACTGTTTCGTGACTGAGTCTGAGTTACCCCAAAAAATCAATATCAGACTATCCAAAGGGAAAAAAAAAAAAAAAAAAAAAGACTGAAAAAGGAAGGTACCCTGGGAAAGAACGTATAGACCTGGGCGATGATCAAAGGACAGCTCACACAGGTCATGGGCACAACAATGACCATCTCATCTCTTAAAGTATATTTATCCGTATAGACCACCTATTTCAATACATAGCTAATCAAAATAACTAATGCAATTGCTGCTTCTGCAAAAGCAATTGCAATGATAGATATTCCAAATAAATTACCTAATACCTAGGCTACCAGCCGGGCCGCCCGGGTCCCGGGTGGCCGGCCCGTGCAAGGTCCCAGCAAAAAAAAAAAAAAAAAAAAAATCCAAAAATTCGGAAAACAAACTATGTTATGCAGAAAAATAAACTGAACAACTTTTGCCTCAGGGTCACATCGAAATTCTTCACCAAATTTAAAATACAAAATAAAATTCAAAAATATTTTATTTATTTTTATTATTTTGGCCCGGCCGGGCAAGTGACCCCGGGCCACTCTGGTAGCCTAGCCTAACACCTATTACCTACAATTGCAGAAGAATCAAAAAATTTGCAAAAAAATACTGTTTAAATTTTAAACCAACTGC